CTCAGATGCTGCCTTCTAAAATGGTGGTGTATTGACTAGCTGTTTTTGGTATAGATACCCTCGTATTCTTTCCATCTTCTTGTGATGCTTCCTAGATCATTCAATATTTTGCCCATAGAATCTTTCAATATTGAAACTTGAGGCTTGATTAAAATTTTTTCTTTTACTTCTTGGAGTTTAAGACATGTTGAGTTTGTTCTTCCTTTTGGTTCCCTAATTCTAGGTCTTTGCACATTTCATTATAATAATCTGACTTTGTCTTCTCAAGCTGTCCTTTGAAATTTCCTATTCATACCTTTGACTTCATCCTTTCTCACATTACTTTAGCTACTCTGTGATTAAGAGTGTCAAAGTCTCTTCTGACATCTACTTTGATCTTTTCTTTCTTTCCTGTCTTTTTAATGACCTTTTACTCTCGTCATGAATGATGGTCTTGATGTCCTCCCACAGCTCATCAAGTCTTCTGTCATTAGTGGCCAGTGCGTTAAATTCAGATAGGACAGATCCAAGGTTGTATTTTGGCTGTCTTGGACTTGTTTTAATTTGGTCAGCATGAACTTGGACTTACATATGAGCAATTAATCAATTGTTCAGTCAGCCCCTGGCCTGACTTTAGCTGCTGATGTTGCGCTTCTACACCATCTCTTAACATAGATGTAGTTCATTTGATTTCTGTGCATCCCATCTGGAGAAGTCCATTGTCATTTTTTGTGTTGCAAAGGTATGTGCTATGAACCAGTTGTTGGTTTTACAAAATTCTTATGTGGTCCCCAGTTTCATTTGTCACCAAATGCATATTTCCCAACTACTGTTTCCCCATTGTTTCCAACATTTCATCTCTATCCTCAGTAATTGTCAATGCATCTCTGTAGTATCTTTGATCAGTTTCTGACTGAAGTCATCGCTAGAGTTTTTCAATTTCTTCATCGCTAGCTTTATGGTTATAGATGTTTTGATTGGTGAATAGATGTAATCCTATTCCAGGTACTTCATGATTGATTTTACAATGTTCATTTTGACCACACCATTCCTTTTGATTGTGTTATTCCCCGCATAGTTAATCATAAGACTTTCTGACTCAAAATGGCCAATACTAGTCTGTTTCAGCTCACAGTGCCTAGGATATCGACCTTTATGCTCTCACAAAAGAAGATTTCCATGGGGGCTGTAAAAAGAACTGCAGAAATCAGATTCAAAGATGGAATTTTTCCGTAAACTTTTTGAAGCTCCTTGTTACTTGATGCTATTGAGTCGTCCCCTCTAACCTCCATGGCAGCCGCGTGCACAATGGAATAAAATGTTGCTAGGACCTGCACCTTTTCATGGTCAGTAGTATGCTGACCTCCATGCTTGCGTTCACTGTGTTTCGAGTGCCTTCCAACCCAAGGTCTCATATTCCCGCGGTATATCAAGTTGTACGATGACCTGTAGTTTTTTCACTGGTTAATTTTCAGAAAGAGATCTCTGGACACCTTTCTTCCTGATCTTTCTTAGTTTGAAATCTCTGCTAAAACCGCCTGACTCTGCTGGGCTTTTTCTTTTTAATTTGAGACTGCACTACACAGTATCTCTCCCATCACTGTTACCCAGTTCATGTACTTTCTTTTTAATCTTGATTGTGAATTGGGTGACAGTTTATAAGGCATATGATTTTTACATTCCACAATTCATATGCATTTTCTTTCATCTCATTCATTGCAACCTCCTCAATATAATGCCCTGCATCCCACTTTTCCCTGTACAGTATTTCCTGTTTCAATTCCTCTTCCTTTACCAACCCTTCTGAACTTCATCTCTGGATAAGTGCTGCCTTTCGGTTCTCAAACAGTTGACTATTCTGTGGTGAATATACTTCACTCGTGTTTTTGTTCCCCTTATACAGCCACAGACCTGAAGGGTAATTGATTGAAGGCCATAGTCGTGGGGTTCCACTGATGTTTATGTAACCAGTAAGCCTGGTCTCCCTTACGGTTTTGAGTTTTGTTCCTTACTTTTCTCCTTCTCTATCGAGGACAGGAGTTAGCAAGCTGTGGCTCATGAGCCACATGCAGCTCTTTTGGTATGTACGTGGCTTTGAGGCAAAATCAAAAAATTTGAAGTAAAATTGAAACCATGAAAATTATCAGTTTCATTGAAAGGATATTATTCAGATAATGGTGATTGCATTTTCATGTAAAAATATATTTATGGCTTTTGAATAATTTTTAAGTTGTGCAGGACAAGATTGACTGAAAAGTTTGCCGATCCCTGGTGTACTGCCTTCTATTGTGTGCCTTTTGAGAGCAGTTGGTAGTGGTCGCTGGCTACTACCTAGTTCTTCAAGTCTCACAGTTGATCCATACTTCGGCAGATTATCCATGTACCCATAGAAGTGCATTTGTGTATATGTATAGTACTTGAAGAACAGTGATGTTTCACCGGAATTCTCACATTCTATAAACGGCAGAATAGATATCAATTCATATCCAATATGTAGCTACCTATACAATTCACTGACATTGATCACCATTCTTCAAGTTGTGTTACCACCTGCTGGTATTGTAAATACCTGTGCCATAGCTTCTAGCCTCATCGCTATATATAAGCCACCAAGTGTAACAGACTTAAGTAGCAGCAGGTGGTCAATATCACTCGACTCACTACCATTGAGTTGATGCCTGCTCATAGTGACCCTATAGGAGAGCTTACAACTGCCCTGTGAGTTTGATTCATTATGGCTTTAATGAGTGTTTTCATGATAATCAGTGATATTGAAAGAAGCCCTGGTGGCAAAGTAATTACGAGCTAACCATAAGGTGTGCAGTTTGAAACCACCAGCTGCTCCAAAGGAGACGGGGTTTTTTACTCTCAGAAAGAGTTACAGTCTCGAATGGTGGTGTATTAAATATTTATGAGGATGGGGAGCAGATGCTGAGAATGTAAAATGACACAAATACTGGGAAAGGACTTTGACAACTTCTTACAAAGTTAAGGATTTATCTACCATTTGGCTGAGTAATGTTTTCCTAGTTAGTGATAAGAATGTTTGTGAAAAAACTACTGAACTCTCAACTGACCATTTATGTATATAAAATTATACATTAACAAGGTGATTTGCCAATCAAAATTTTTAAAATGGTGAATGACCTGGGGGGGACATCAGTATATAGGAATTTTTTCTATAGAGAGATTATTGGACAGGGGATAAAATGTACAGTATATGATATTCAGTCCAGAGTTGTTAATACCCAAAATTTGGAAATGCCCACAAACCCATCTATGATATAGTGGTTTAAAAAATCTGTAGTACATCTGTATAATGGAACTCTACTTCGACTTTAAAATGATGCTGTATATGTTCTATATGATTCAATTCCACTCCTAGGTACCTATCCAACAAAAATGGTACATTCTGTTTTAGATAATCTATAACAGAAGTACCATGCATGGATGAATTTAACATACAGTAATTTATTTTCTCAGTTTAGGGGGCTTGAAGTTCAAATTCCAGGGGCTGGTTCTAGGGGAAAGCTTTCTGTGTCAGTTCTGGAGTAAGTAAGATCTTTCTCTTCTCTGTTGCTCATGAGCCATCTTCATGTGCCTTGGCATCTCTCCCCATCTCTGCTTCTGCCTTGCTTGTTTTATCTCAAAAAAGACTTGACTAGCTTTCCAACAAGTCAGTGCAAACTCTCTGTAGGACTTGGTAGAAACTGCCCTGTGGGTTTTCTTGGATTGTATCTCTTTGTGGGAGTAAAAAGCCCTATCTTTGTGCTCGCTTCGGCAGCACATATACCAAAAAGTTCTATCTTTATCCCACAGATCGATCGCCTTGTAGTTTTGAACTGCTGACCTTGTGAATCACAGCCCAACGCATAACCACTGTGCCACCAGGGCTCCTATATTAATCTTGTTTCATTAGCTAAACAACACCATTCTCTCTCAAGTGAGATTGTTACCACAGGTATAGAGGTGTTAGGATACACAGCACATATTTTTGGTAATGCATTTCAATCCTATCACAATATGCTAACAAAGTGAAACACTGAAAACTCATCACATGCCCATTAACAGTAAACTAGATGGCTAATTTGTGGTTTATTGCCACCATGGTATACTATAAAACTTTGAGAATGAAAACTCTACTTCTGATAATTATGCTGAGTTAAGTGAAAGAAGTGAAACTTAACAGGGAACATTTGTTTTGAGTTTATTTATATCAAGTTCAAAAATAGATAACGCTATAATGTTGGTATAGTGGCTGTCCTTGGGAGGGTTAACTGGATTGGGGTTTATATGGGAGCTACAATGTTTTGTTTCTTAAGGTGGGGGTTCCAGTTACAAAGATATATTCAGTTTGGAAAAATTCAACGGCAAATTAACATTTTTGCACTGTGCATTTGTTAAACAATTCAACAAATGTTAAATAAAAGTCTACTCTAATTTACAAATAGGTGAAAAATATCTGAGATTTTATGAAAATACTGACTCCTCGGTGCCTATGAGGGACGACAGTTTGAGTGGGAGCCAACTCTGTGGCCCTGACAGTAAGAGTGTTGGCATTTTAATAGTGACCGATAGAGCCGTGTGTCCTTTTAGTATACGTTCAGATGAGACATTTTGTTATGGAAATGCACATGTCCGGATACTGAGGGAACTCATTGAAATGTATTTTTAATGTTAGGTTTCTACAATTTTTCATAAATATTTTCAATGCAATTATCTAATATGCTGTATTGCATTTTAAGCTTTTTGAATTTATTTTACATAGTTGCCAGGTCCTTTGTTCTAAATGTGGAAAAGCCAATACATAATACACAGATAATGTCCTGTCTTCCACCATTGTCAATGAGCGCTGATTTCAAAAGGTGGCAATCTTCAGCTCTCCTTGTTAAGAAAACTTCACAATGAAATGATCAGTTTGTAAACCCTGAAATTTAACTGCAAGTGCCACTTTTATGTGTGTTGTTACTCTAATTAACTTCAGTGGGCTAGGACTTTTTAACACTTGATATCTTTCCTAGTCAATGATGAGTCTGGTCGAGATGCTGAAGTCACTGCCAGGGAGCACCTGGGCTCCAGCAGCTCCCTTCAGTCCCGTGAAGAGAAGCAAGAACCTGTTGTGGTCAGGCCCTACCCACAGGTCCAGATGTTGTCCACACACCATGCTGTTGCATCGGGCACACCTGTCTCGGTGACGACCCCACCAGCCCATCTGACGCCAGCAGTGCCACTCTCGTTTTCAGAGGGGCTTATGAAGGTAATAGAAGAGCTAAACATTTCACCGAACCACAGCTGAAGACTGGTTAATGTTTATGGCTAGTATGGATTCTTTGTCTTATAGACTAGGATTGTACTTTGATATTGCTTTTTAATCTGTCCATTTAGCTCTTCCCTATAACCCAGAGCTCTGCTGGTTTAAAGTGCCTAGTCTTGTACCACTAGGCAGTTGGCATCACAGGATCTTTCCTTGAGCTGTTCTGAACTTGATTTTAAATTTTAAGCGTGCTGGTTTAGACTTTGTGCCTTGGAGTGGCACTGCTACACACCAAGACTGTGTTACCAGCTTGGTGGATGAGGGTATCTTATTACATTACCTTGCTTAATTATCCTTTGAGCATTATAGTGACTAGGAGTTTTATTTACTAAATTTGGTAGGAAGCTTTGCATAGAAGAGTGAGCACAGACTATGAGTCACACAGAAATGGGATTTATTTCTTAGCTTTACCAGCACACTGTCTGTGTGGCTTTGAGCCAGTCATGTAGCCTTACTCTGTGCATTCCTTCATTGGTAAAATAGAAGTGCTAGTACTGAAATAGAAATACTAAAAGATAAATGTAATGCTAAAAGATAAAATATATAAGGATTCTGGCATATTTATTGATTCTCTCCAGATGTAACTTGTGCACTTTTAATTATAGAATGAAATACATAATTGGTAAAAGGCTATTGATAATGTTTCATGTGGAATTTTGTTTGCAGCCACCCCCGAAGCCCACCATGCCTAGCCGACCTATTGCTCCTGCTCCGCCTTCTACCATGTCACTCCCCCCCAAGGTTCCAGGGCAGGTTACTGTTACTATGGAGAGTGGCATCCCTCAAGCTTCCGCCATTCCTGTGGCAACCATCAGTGGACAACAGGTTTTTTTCCTTCCTTTGCTGATATTCTAACTGAGATGCCAAACTGTCGATCACTATTGAATGCTCGCAATACAATAGTCACTGTACTAAATAGAAACTTACAAATGGTCATTGATACCTGTTAAGGTGAGATAGTATGTGTGAGAAAGAAGGAGATATAATTAGAAACTAATATGCATAATGATCTTTGTCATTTAAGCAATATTTATGAAGCTAGGCACTGTTCTCATTATAAGATACACATGCAGATAAGACAATCTATATCTTTGAGGAAGTAGTTACCTCTTGGTCTAGGTACACAACTTGATAGGATCACACAGTCCTCTACAATGTCATTGGATAGTATTTCTTTGATTTGAGGTTTAACTATTTTTAATTACTTAGCAATGGAAAGTACAAACAACAGAACACTTTGTGTTGATGTTTTCAAGAAAAATGAGTGTTCCAAAAAGATGCATTGTAGTTTTTTTCCTCCCCATTGTCATACTCGAGTATTCCAGAAATACTCTAAACTCCAAGCTGAGAAACACTGGAATTGGTTTGGAGAGATTGTGAGGAAGGGACATTTAAGTGGTCAGCCAAAGAACCTGATAGAAAAGGAACCTGTGAATTACTGATTAAAATTTATATAGAATTCGTATATAACATCAAAGACTTGTATGTTGTATTAAAAGGAAGTAGTGGGGATGGGAAGAAACAAACTTTATCTAGAACAGAAAAAGTAAGAGTGAAAAACTATAATTGGAGAGAAGAGTATCTAAATTTGAACATAGGTATGTCATCTGTTACTAATTCTGCTGAGGGGCCTAAGCTGTTGATGAATTCTCACAGTTAATGACCCATATAAGTGTTTGCATGGGCCATCGTTCAGTGCAGTGATTAGCAAAAGCTAAGTGCTCTTGGAACTTTCCTTTGGAAAGGACTGATAGAAACTATCTGACCCATACTTGGAGGCAACTAACCTCCTAGAGGCAATGGATAAATAAGTGGTGGCCAGCCACATGAAAATAACTTTCTACCCCTTTGTTGCAGGGACATCCAAGTAACCTGCATCATATCATGACCACAAATGTGCAGATGTCTATCATCCGTAGCAATGCCCCTGGCCCACCTCTTCATATAGGAGCATCTCATTTACCTCGAGGTAAAGACTGAAAGTTTGCTTCAGACTCAAAAGGGCAAGTACATATTTGGTAGAAGATAGAATAAACAAAATGGTAGCACTTTGGGTTAGGTGTTGGGGTTGCTAATTACAAGCTCTGCAGTTCAAACTTACCAGTTACTCTGTGGGAGAAAGATGAGGCTGTTTGCTTCCATAAAGATTTATATCCTCAGAAACTCTTTGGTGCAATTCTCCTCTGTCCTATAGGAGCACTATGAGTCAAAATCAACCCTATGGCAGTGGATTTATTGTTGTGGTACACATATGTACCCATGTGTGGTGTATATTATGTGCATATATGTAAAGTAATGCAAATTTTTAGAATGTTGTAAATTGTGTTCCTTTTGTTACAGAACTCCCCAAGTCTAGGGTAGTCTAAATATGATCTCAAATTTAAAAAGCCAAGAAAGTCGGGGAATTTCAAGTAGTTGATGGTAAAATTCCATTATCTTCAATTTTCATTTTTCCATGAGCTTTTTCAATCTCCCTCATCTTGATCCTGAATATTTCAATGTTTAGTGATAATGACGTGTCTTTTTAAAAACTATGCAACAATAAATTATTCTTGGTTTCTTACAGCTATAAGGTAGTAAAATTAGTGTAATTTCTTACTCAATAAGCCAGTAAAAAATGTTACCTTCTTTTAGAAAGAGTGAAAATATTTTTTGGCAAAGTCGGGCTACTCTTATTATAGTGATTATCTCAAAAACCTAGTGCACATATTCTTTTAGGAAATCTACAAGGTCTGAACATTTTGTACAAACACTAAAATGTTTATTTGTATTTTTCACCCTATTGACATTTGCACTAAGTGTAAAAAGTGAATTACAGTTATCTGATAGGTAAACTTCTGAGTTAATAGCACAAATCAAGCTGGTGACCACAAGTAGATGATCAGTGTTTTCCTAATTGCCATGCACTTAGTAGTTTGTTTAAAACACAAAAGAAAGCCAGTTTCCTTTAAGAATATCATCGAAGATAAAGGAAAACAACTATGTGATCTTCTTTTTTTTTTTTTCATGTGATCTTCTTAAATGATGTGCACCTGATTAAAAAAATCACAATAGGAATAGAAGGGAAATTCTTGAACATAATTATGAACATGTACGCTTACCCAAAGGAGCCAGTATTCTCAACAGACATAAAGCTGAAAGCATTCCCCTTAAGAATTAGAAACAGCCTTTTCTCTAATTCACAACTGTATTTTAAATCTTAACCACAGCAATAAGTCAAGAAAGGAAAATAAAAGGCATCCCAATAGGTAAAGAAGGAACAAAATGATCTTTATTTACAGATGGTATGATAAAAAATCCAGAAGAACACAATAAGCGAGATACAGGAATTAAAGAAGAATTCAGCAAAATGGCAGGGTTAAAGATCAACATTCAAAAATCAGTCTGATTTTCTCCCTAAGAAGTAAATCAAGAAAATGGTGCCATTTACAATTAAAAACCAACAACAACAAAAGAACTCACTGCCGTGCAGTCGATAGTGATTCACGGCAACCTTTAGGGTGACCTGCAGTAGAACTACCCCTGCTAAAAGTTTCCGAGACTTTAACTGTTTTTATTATTATTATTGAAAGATCATTTTATTGGGAGCTCTTACAGCTCTTACAACAATCCATACATCAGTTGTATCGAGCATATTTGTAGATGTGTTGCCATCATTATTTTCCAAACATTTACTTTCTCTTGAGACTGTAACTCTGTTACAGAGTAGAAAGCCCTGTCTTTCTCCCACAGAGTGATTGGTGGTTTTGAACTGCTGACCTTGTGGTTAACAGCCCAACAGATAACCACTACACCACCAGGGCTTCCATTTATAGTAGCTGCCCGTAAAATGAAATACTTAAGGAATAACTATAATGAATGAGACACAAAAGGTTTATACAAAGAAAACTACAAAACATTACTGAAAGAGACCAAAAGAGATCTATGTAAATAGGTACAATAAATAATCAAAATATATCATGATCATGAATTGGAAGATATAACACTATGAAAATGCCAATACAAACCGAAGGTCAACCAGTTCTTTTTGGTCTAGTGATTCCAAGTTTTTGTTTTTTAATCATTTTATTAGAGGCTCATACAACTCTTAATTTAACACAATCCATACATACAATTGTGTAAAGCACATTTGTACATTCGTTGCCCTCATCATTTTCAAAACATTTGCTCTCCGCCTAAGCCCCTGGCATCAGCTCCTCATTTTTCCCCCTCCCTACCCGCTCCCTTCTCCCTCATGAACCCTTGATAATTTATAAATTATCATTTTGTCATATCTTGCCCTGTGCGACGTCTCCCTTCACCCACTTTTCTGTTGTCCGTCCCCCAGGGAGGAGGTCACATGTAGATCCTTATAATCAGTTCTCCCTTTCCAACCCACCCTCCCTCTACCCTCCCAGTATCGCCACTCTCACCACTGGTCCCGAAGGGATCATCCGCCCTGGATTCCCTGTGTTTCCAGTTCCTGTCTATACCAGTGTGCATCCTCTGATCTAGCTAGATTTGTAAGTTAGAATTGGGATCATGATGGAGGGGGGCATTTAGGAACTAGAGGAAAGTTGTATGTTTCGTCATTGCTACATCGCACACTGACTGGCTCATCTCCTCCCCAAGACCCTTCTGTAAAGGGATGTCCAGTGGCCTACAAATGGGCTTTGGGTCTCCACTCCGCAGTCCCTGCCTCATTCACAATGATAGGATTTTTTGTTCTGCTAATGCCTGATACCTGATCCCTTCGACACTTCCTGATCGCACAGGCTGGTGTGCTTCTTCCATGTGAGCTTTGTTGCTTCTCAGCTCGATGGCTGCTTGTTTACCTTCAAGCCTTTAAGATCCCAGACACGGTATCTTTTGATAGCCGGCACCATCAGCCTTCTTCGCCACATTTGCTTATGCACCGCCGAGTATTCTTTCCATCTTCTTTCCATGCTTCCTGCTCTGTCAATATTTTGCCCATAGGACTTTTCAATATTGCAACTCATAGCATGATTTTTTTTCCTAAGTCCTTTATGTTTAAGATATGCTGAACATATTCTTTCTTCTTACTTTTCTAAGGTCTTTGCACATTAAACTACTGTTTTCATGAGCTGCCCTTTGAAATTTTTTGTTCAGCTCTTCCTCAGTTTTGCCATTTGTATTAGCTACGCTGACATCAAAAACAAGTTTCGGAGCCTTTTCTGACATCCACTTTGATTTTTTTCCTTTCTTTCATGTCTTTTTAGTGACCCTTTGCTTTCCTCGTGAGTGGTGTTCTTGATGTCCTCCCACAGCTCATCAGGTCGTCTCTTATTTGTGCTGAGTGTGTCAGATCTGCTCTTGAGACGACGGGGAAATTTAAGTGATATGTCCTCGCAGTTGTATTTCGGGTCTCGTGGCCTTGTTTTCATTTTCTTCTGCTTCAGCCTCAACTTACTCATGAACAGTTGATGGTCTGTTCAACAGTCAGCTTCAGGCCTGGTTTTAACTGCTGATATTGAGCTCCTGCATCATCCCTACACACAGATGTGGTCCATTTTATTTCTGTTTTCCATCTGGATAAATCCATATCTACAGTCACCTTTTGTGTTATCGAAAAAAGGTATTTATGATTATGAAGTTACTGGTCTTGCAAATTCTGTCACTTGATCGCCAGCTTTGTTTTTATCACCAAGGCAACATTGCCCAACTATTGTTCTTATGAAGTATTCAGGAATTAGCAAATAACAAGGCTTCAATTAACAATTGAAATGTTTTCAACAAGCTGATGAACCACTGGAAGCACTCACTAGTCTATCCCAGGAAATTTGGAAGACAGATAAATGTCCAGCCAACTCTCTGAATGAGATCCATTTCTGTAACCATTCCAAAGAAAAATGACCCAACAGAATGGGCAAATTAAAACACAGTATCATTAATATCACAAGTAGATTTTTGCTGAAGATTATCCAATAATGGTTGCAGTAGTACAATGACAAGAAGCTGCCAGAAATTCACGCTATCTTAATAAGAGGACATGGTCATTGCTGATGTCAGATGAATCTTGGCTGATAGCAGAGAATACCAGAAAGATGTTTACTTGTGTTTTCTTTATTATGCAAAGGTATTTGTGCAGATCATAACAAGCTATAAATTGCCCTGAGAAGAATGGGAATTCCAGAACACTTCATTGTTCTCATGGAAAACCTGTCCATAGCTCAAAAAGTAAGAGTATAACAAGGAAATAGTACATGGTTGAAAATCAAGAAAGGTGTACGTCTGAGTTGTATCCTCTTATCTTGTTCAGTCTGTATGCTAAGCAAATAACCATGATAGCTGGATTTTATGAGGAAGAATGAGGTATCAGAATTGGAGGAAGGCTTAATAACCATGTACAATAGCAGATGACACAGTTGTTTGCTGAAAGTAAGGACATCTTGAAGCACTTGCTGATGCATATCAAGGACTATAGCTTTTAGTATGGATTACAATTCAATGTAAAGAAAACCCAAATCCTCACAATAGGTAAAACCATGACAACTGGAGAAAAGAGTAAAGTTGTCAAGGATTTCATCTTGCTTGTATCCACAATCATCGCTCAGTAAGCAGCAGTCAAGGGTTATTGCATTAGATAAATCTGCATAAGACCTCTGTAAAGTATTGAAAGTTCATGGACAACAGGCAGGAAATCAAATGATATTACATTGGGCAATTCTGTGTACAAGTCCTCTCTGAAGTGTTGAAGAAAGTGTCACTTTGAGGAGTAAGGTGTACCTGACCCAAGCCAGGACTTTTTCAACCAGGTGAAAGTTGGACACTGAATAAGGAAGACCAAAGAAGAATCGATGCATGTTAATTGTGCTGGTAAAGAATACTGAAGGTACCATGGACTGCCTAAAAAACAAAAATTGCTCTTGGAAGAGCTATAGTCAGAATGCTCTTTAAAAGCAAGGATGGTGAAACTTCATCTCACATACTGTGGACATGTTATCCAGAGAGACTAGTCCCTCAAGATGAACATCATGCTTGGTAAAGTATAGGACCAGCGAAATAGAGGCAGGCCCTTGACACAGTGACTGCATTGATGGACTCAAATATAAGGACAGCTGTGACAATGATGCAGGCTGGATAGAGTGGTTTGCTCTGTTGTCCATAGGATCACTGTGAGTGAGAACCAACTTGATGGCACTCAACAACAACAACACCCAGCAGTATTTACAGATAACTGTGATAGCAACTCAGATTCCTTCATTCTTTAAATAATTGGAAAAGCTAGTCATCACCTTTATTGGAAAGAACCAAATCAAAGGACAAAATTAAAATATGAGGCCTTATACTTCCACTTCTCAAAATCTACAGTAGAACCTACTATACACTGGTACAGTGACATACACATTGACCTGTGGCAAAGAATTGAGAACTGTGACGTAAATCCACCTATCTACATCTTTTTTTTTTTTTTTCTATCTACATCTTTGACAAAGAGTCGAAACCCATTAAGTGGAGAAGCGATAGTCTCTTTAATAGTGTTCATAAAATTGAGTATTAATTTGTAGAAAAGTGAAACGAGATGCAGCCTTATCATATATAAAAGTGCATCAAAGACCTAACTAGAATGCCTAAAACTATAAATATCATTAAAGACAAGTAGAATCAAACTTAGGAGATGCTGAATAATCCATAACACATAACTAAAAATTCATAAATATCTGAAGATAAACATAGCTCAATGGACACATTGCATCAGATGTATCTTGACTAAAAACAGAATACCAGTAAGATGTGTACTTGTGTTCTGTTGCACATTCAGACATTGGGCTCTGAATCATAATAACTGATTAACATTCTGAAGAATGGGAATCCAACATTAATTGTACTTACATAGAACTTGTACATAGACTAATAGGCAATTGTTTAAATAGAACAAGTGAATGTTGCATAATTTAAAGTCAGGAAAGGTGTGCATCCAGGTTATGTCCTCTCATCATAGATACTCAGTCTGTGTCAGGCTTACTGGAATACTCATTGGCGTTCTGGAATATGCAGAAGGAGGTAGAACCTTGCTTGCCAAATGAAGTATTTGCTATTGGAAATCAAAGACTTCAGCCTTCAGTATGCATTACAACTCAGTACACAAAAAATAGAAATCATTAGAACTGCACTAATTGGTAACATCACGATTAACAGAAAAGATTGAAACTGTCAAGGATTTTGCCTCACTTGGAGTCACAATCAGTGTTCATGGAAGCAGCTGTGAAAGATCAAATGATATAGTCCACTGAGCAAACCTGCACAAATCCTCTTTGAAGTGTTAAAGAAGGTGTCCCTTCGAGGGCTAACGTGTGCCTGACTCAAGCCTTAATGTTTTCATTATTCTTATATGCAGAAGGAAAGGAAAATGGGGATTTCTACTCCTATGAAGGGTTACAGTCTCTGAAATCCACAGGGGAAATTCTTCCTTGTCTTACAGGGTCGTTGTGAGTTGTAATCTACCCAATGACAGTGAGTTTGAGTTCATGAGTTTGAAAGGTAGAGCATAAATAAGATCTCAGGAGAAGTGATACGTCTAAAATTACGATATTGCAAGGGAGACAGTGGACAGTGCAAAATATGAAAATAAAAATAATTTATAAATTAGGGTTCATGAAGGTGAGGGAGGGGAAAGAAGAAGAGCTGATACCAAGGGCTCAAATAGAAAAAAAATGTTTTGGAAATGTTGATGGCAACATGTACAAATGTGCTTGATGCGATTGATGTATGGATTGTTGTAAGAGCTGTAAGAGCCCTTAATAAAATGATTTATTAAAATTTTTAAAATAAATAAGTTACAGTATTGCAAAGAGTATTGAACGTACCATGGATGGAAAAATCTGTCGAGGAGGAAGTTCAGCCAGCATGCTCCTTAAAAGCAAGGATGATGAGACCTTTGTCTCCTATACTCTGGGCATGCTATCAAGAGTCTTCCGTTCTGTTGTATAGACGGTTGCTATGAGTTGGAGCCCACTTGACAGTGCTTTCCCCCCAAAATATATTAAAGTAGTCAGTTTATAGGAGGCAAATGGGTGGGTGGCACAAGGAGGTAGGCTTTCGGTACTATTTGATTGACTATTCTAATCCACTAGGAGTACCTTGGAATTAAAAACTGGCGATCGGTTTCCAAAATTTCAGTCTTGGGAAACACTTTGCAACACAATTCTCCTATGATACACATGGGCTTATTACTATTTGTAAGAATTGACTGTACAGTAACTGGTTTGGGTTAATACAATGGGCTTAATATATTTAGAATAATAAGTACTTAAAGTTTTCATTAAAAAAAAAAACCAAACCTGTATGGAGTGTTTTCTAAAACAACTTGCTTGTTATAGAAACCTTTCTCTTCCAGGAGTCCATCATATTTCTTTGGGTTTATGTAATAATTATATGTACTCAACTAAATCTTTTGCACAGCTGTTCCATTCTGATGTGCAACTGTTGATAACAATCATAGTTATTGAAAGCAGAAGTAGGGAGGTCCACATAAACAAAAGCTCATTGGTACCTGCAGTAATGTTTATTTAAAAACATAAAAGGATCCTAAATCTAAAACGTTTGGGAAGCAATGACAAGTGAGTTTTTAAAAATTATTGTCACTGTATAATTGAATCTGTTTAAATTGTGAGCTCTTGAACCATACTAACTACTAAATGTTTTTTTAGGTGCAGCTGCTGCTGCGGTGATGTCCAGTTCTAAAGTAACCACAGTCTTGAGGCCGACTTCCCAGTTGCCAAATGCTGCCACAGCACAGCCAGCAGTGCAGCACATCATTCACCAACCGATCCAGGCATGTCTAGGTTGGGGGTCATCTGCCAACAAGTATTAAGTGCTTGCTGTGAGTTATTCACTCTGCTAGCCACTGTGCAAGCCTTGTTTTTAAGTAACTTTAAATCCCAACATCAAGACATATCAGAAGGTTGAATAACTTAAACAGTGTTGTATAATGAGTTGTAGGCATTTAGAAAAGAACGATTACGGGAAGAGTTTTTGTTAGGTACAGTAGTGAGGATTCAGAGACATGAAAAGGAGGACGCTTAAAGGGGGGATTAATATGAACAGTGGCAAGAAGGAGCATGCTGGTTATAGCAGTTTCAGACAGTGCATTACAAGTGACTAGAACCAAGTGGTTTTCATTTAGATAGGATTTTTTTTAAGTTCTAAAAGTTTGTTTGCATATTCTTGTGTATGTCTTCTTTCCCGGGAAAAATAAGGAAAGGTTTAGCTAACTCAGTTACGTAACTGAGAATTCACTTTCAGATAATAAGTGTGTGAAACAGCTAGATTTAAGACAATAAAAACAGCCTTGATTAGGGCACTGGTTAGCACACAATCTAGTCTACAACTTTCAAATTTAACTAAAACACCATGTTGGCCGAGAAGATGGCACGGGGGTGGGGGTGGGGGGCGGTGATTAGACCACCAAGAGTATGGGTGGTATAGAATAGGAAGGATTGGAGAGAAAGCAGAACCAAGGCAGGGAGGTGACTGATGAATAAGAGACTGCAGGCACTGTCCACAGTGGGAGTGGCAAGTAAACAGACTGGAGGTGAAAAAATAGATATTAAAAATGGTCAAGAGTTTTGTGATTTACCTGAAGACGTGCAGGGTCATGAAGGGAGGCATGAATCAGAAGAGATCAAGTGATGGGAGGAATGATGGGTTACGCAGGTGAAGCCCAGTGTGAACATTGTCAGGGGAACTTTTTACCACGATGTAGTAGTGACATTGTATTCATATGACGACATCAGACCGTTTCTGCACATCATGAATCTTTGACTGCAGAGAGTTTGGGTACTTTAGTCATGATAAGTTAGATGTTCTGAGACTGGCCCTTTTAGGTTTTCTCAGTAGAAAACATTTGATTATGTAGTGGTAAAAAATGTCAAAACCAGGACTAGCAACAGATCTGTGACTGAATGGTGGTTCAGAATTTTGGCTGCTTGAACAAATTAACTCCTGATCTTTTGGTAATTCTGTCAGTTCTTGTAATACCCTATGTGCAAAGATAATTTTTTAATATCAGAATGATGATACTTTACTTTCATTTTTGTTTTGAATAGTTGACTTGGTTTATCTGGGTTTAAAATATTTTCTTCTCTTAATAGTCTCGCCAACCTGTGACCACCTCTAATACCATCCCTCCTGCTGTGGTAGCAACTGTCTCAGCCACCAGAGCGCAGTCTCCAGTCATTACTACAACAGCAGCACATACTACTGATTCAGCTCTTAGGTACATTTGGGGGTCTGATGATCAAATGAGGATTCCATCCCTCCTATAATCACACCTTCCCTTTGTTCTTTCATTTGTTCTGTCACTTAACTTGTTTTTGTTTGCCATGTGCTGGTAAAGATACTAAGGATAAATCGATGAGCAAAATAACTGTCTTCAGGAAGTTTTTGTATTGTTAAAGAGTGACAAGTGCTTTGGAGAGAAATAAAATACAGTGAAAGGGATTTGTAGTGACAAGGAGACTTACTAGTTCATATATGGTGATTTCTTATTTCATATAAGATGGTTAGAGAAGGCTTTATTAATAAAAGTACATTCTAACAGAAAAAGAAAAGAGGCAATGAAGTGGTCTGTTTGGGAGAAGAACTGTCTGTACCAGGCAGAGGCCCTGAGACAGCATCATATATGCTACATGTAAGAAATACCGAGGAAGTCAATGGTGGGAAGGAGGAGATAAGTATTGAAGGTAGCAGGGGCTCTGAGCACATAGGACCTTATGAGCTGCTGTAAAGATGTAGACTTTACACTGACCGCTGTCTCCCTTCACTCATATTTCCGTTATTCATCCCCCTGGGGAGTGGCTTATGCGTCAGTTATTTCAATTGCTTCCCCCTACTCCACTCCTCCCCCCACCTTCTCCTTACTCTCCAGGTATTGCTACTCCCAATTTTGTTCCTTAGGGGTTTATCTGACCTGGATTCTGTGTGTCATCAGCTCTTTTTGCTTTTTTAATGATTTTATTGGGGGCTCATACTACTCTTATCACAATCCATATATGCATCAGTTGTGTAAAGCACATTTGTACATTTGTTGCCCTCATCATTCTCAAAACATTTGCTCTCCACTTAAGCCCCTGGCATCAGCTCCTCATTTATACCCCTCCCTCCCCGTTCCCCCCATCCTCATGAACCCTTGATAATTTATAAATTATTATTTTATCATATCTTATACTGTCTGATGTCTCCCTTTACCCATTTTTCTGTTGTCAGTCCCCCAGGGAGGAGGTTATATGTAGCTCCTTGTAATCGGTTCCCCCTTCCCACCCCACCCTCCATCCACCCTCCCGTTATCACCAATCTCACCACTGGTCCTAAAGGGATCATCCGCCCTGGATTCCCTGTGTTTCCAGTTCCTATCTGTACCTGTGTACATCCTCTTGTCTAGCCAGATTTGTAAAGTAGAATTGGGGTCATGATAGTGGGGGCGAGGGGGACATTTAGGAACCAGAGGAAAGTTGTATATTTCATTGTTGCTCCACTGCCCCCTGACTGGCTCGTCTATTCCCAAGACCCTTCCGTAAGCGGATGTCCAATTGCCTACAGATGGGCTTTGGGTCTCCATACCGCACTCCTCCTCATTCAAAATGATATGATTTTTTGTTCTGTGATGCCTGATACCTGATCCCTTCAACACTTCCTGATCACACAGGCTGGTGTGCTTCTTCCATGTGGGCTTTGTTGCTTCTGAGCTAGATGGCCGCTTGTTTACCTTCAAGCCTTTAAGACCCCAGACACTATATCTTTTGATAGCCGGGCACCATCAGCTTTCTTCGCCACATTTGCTCATGCACCCATTTGTCTTCAGTGATTGTGTTGGGGAGGTGAGCACACAATGATATGATTTTTTGTTCTTTGATGCCTGATAACTGATCCTTCAGCACCTCATGATCACACAGCCTGGTGTGCTTCTTGCATGTGGGCTTTGTTGTTTAAGCACATTTTTAATGCAGTTTCTGTGGTGAAATTAGATGCCTCGGCTGATACTAGGGTCGGCTTATACTCAAGTATATACAGTAGACCTCTCCTCCAACTCTACAGTATCTCTTCAGTATTCAGAGTACTTCAGGAGTCTGTCTCTAGTTAAGTTTTTTCATCTCTTTTACTTTGGGGGTCCCTGTCCCTTAGAGCCTTAACCGATGTTTGAGATTAACTATTATCAGTTTACACTCATGTCAGTAATTCTTTATTAGGGCACAATGATCAAGGCAAACATTGTTTATTGATTAGGCAAACCGATGTCTAGCACTGACTTAATAGAATGGTTTTGTTTAAATTTTAAACACCATTTCTGTGCATCACATTTGGGTTTTCCCAGTCACAGTAACTCTGATTATGAGTTTGGAGCTCTGTTCCATTCTTCTCCTCCTGTTGATCTGGATCCGTCTGTTAGGTCCTTGTTAAGAACACTCAGTACTGGTAGCCATAAGGTATCCATTTCCCTTTGCCGAATACCGTGAGAACGAAGGCCATTCTCAGCAACCAGACGTTTCCCTGATGCATGGTCATCGTGAAGGGCCCCAGAGGAACCCTGCGGAGGGACTCAGTCACAGTAACGTAGAACAGTCTCCTTGGAAAGACGAAGGAAGAGGCTTCGAGTTGACAAATGGTGGAGAAATAGAAAGGAACTGGCTACCATGAGCACTATCTGTAGTCATGTCCAGAACATGATCGAGAGTGTTACACTGGGCTTCGATACAAGAGGAGGTCTGGGTATGCCCACTTCCCCATCAACGTGGTTAGTCAGGAGAATGGGCCTCTTGAAATCTGTAACTTCTTGGGTGAAAAGTGCATCTGGAGGGTTCGCATGAGGACAGGTGTTGCTTGTTCCTTTTCTCAAGCCCAGAAAGGTGAGTTAATTCTTGAAGGAAAGGACATTGGGCATGTATCCAATTCAGCTGCTTTAATTGAGCAGGCCACAACAGTTAACAAGGATATCCGAGAGTGTTTGGATGGTAGCTATGTTTCTGACAAAGAAACAGTTCAACAGGCTGATAAGTAAGATCAAGAGGTGTCCAGCGACAGTCCAGTTGATTCCTTTTGCTTTGTCTGTGATGCTTTGATCCAATCCAATAGTTTATGTAATGAAAAAGAAAAAAGGAAAAGTATCCATTTCTTCTGGTGCCATGGTGATAGAGGTATGGTTTGTAGAGGGAGTAAAGCATGCAGCTCATTTCCTTCTCTGATTCCTAGCTTGCCTGCAAACTTATCTTCATGCCACTGAAGTGAAGCAAGACCTCAAGTTCACTTGTCATACCTTAACCTCCTTTTCCTGTAGATGTTAAATTAACCAATGAGTCTATTCGTAGAGTCATTAAAAAAAATTTTTTTAATGGTAGTTGTAAGGGCTAATAGAGTGATTGAGCTAGCAGACTAGAATACTTTCCAGCTTAGCGACATAGGAAACTTACTTTGATCACTAACGTCTCTCTCTCTCTCTCTTTTGACGGGATGGTTTTTACTAGACTTTTATAGATGATTTATTTACTCAGTGTATTTTAAAGTCACTTTTCTTTTTATTTTCTTATATGGCTTTTGGATTTTGAGTCGTAGTCTGATTTTCTCCACTCCCAAGGTTGTAAAGGCAGTTTCCCATCCCTTTAATGTACTTACCCAGCTTCCTTTAAATCATTTACCTTTATGGTATTTTATTTATTTTGGAATGTGAAGCATGAATTCAATTTTATTTTTCCCAAATGGCTACCTCATAGTCCCATCACCATGTTCTCAATAGTCTGTTCTCCCGACCCTAAATTTGCGATGCCAGTTGTTACACAGTGCAGTCTGTAATGTTATCAGCATGCTTTCAGGTAATACAACACACTTCCTGTGATGAGATCCTTCTTAGTCATTTGATGAGCATGACTATAAGCTCAATCATTCCAATAGTTGTTAAATCTGGCAAAACCAAAGCCTATGCCATTAAGTCTGTTTTATATTAGGCCTTGAGGACAGCGTGGAACTGACCCATAGGGTTTCCAAGGCTGTGACCGTCACAGAAGTAGACTGCCACAATTTCTCTTGATGGCTTCAGACCACTGACCCTTCAGTTACAGGTGAATGTTTAACTTCTATGCTACCAGGGCTCCTTACATCTGGAAAGGAGTTATGTAAAATCATTCAGGAGCTCAGTGCTGTAGGAGTCACAGGTTGTTATGATCCTAATAATCAGTATTGCTTGTAATCTTCCCTCAACAAATTTGCCAAAAATGTATAACAAAAGAATGTTACTGCATATCTTCCAACTTGTCCATAAGTGGAGAGTATTCATTATTATAATGCTCATACAAGATTGTTTGTATTAAGTCTTGATTAAGTTCTTCAACGATAAGGAGAATGGCATAGGACTCATTCAGTTCATGGTATAAACAAATGAATTTCAAAAAGTTCACGAAAAAATTCCATTATCTTTTTTTTTTTTTCATTTTAAAACATTTTATTGGTTGCTATTACAGATCTTATAACATCTCATACATCAATTGTATCGAGCATATGTTGACATCATCATTTTCTAAACATTTATTTTTGAGCCCTTGGTATTAGCCCCTCTGTTTTTCCCTGCCTTCCTGCTTCCACCCTGGTGACCCCTTAATAAATTACAAATTATTATTTTCTCCATTACATTTTAATTCCATTTTTCATTATCTATTTGAATCCATCTTGAAGCTTTTAAAAATGAAACTTTAGACAATTTTAGGAGAGATTTCATGGGCCATTTATTTCTTTGATATGATCAAATATGGTTCAACTGGGGACTGCACAGAATTGTGAGAAAATGCCATTTGTCTATGATGTGACCCCAGGTACAAAATGATCTCAACTATGATTGTAGACAACTTGTAAACTGTAATCTCTCTTTTCAGTCGGCAAACTTTGTCTATCCAGCATCCACCATCTGCACCTGTTAGTATTCAGCGTCCTGCCCAGTCACGAGATGTAACTACAAGAATCACACTACCGTCTCACCCAGCGTTAGGGACGCCAAAACAGCAGCTTCACACTATGACTCAGGTATGAAGAGACGACGCTCTGTGTGCTTGCTGGATGAGGACCAGAATTATACAAAACTCGCTAAGGACCTTGCTGTATTGAAGTGGTGGTTGCTTTGAAATAGACTGAGTGGAAAGTGTTCTTGTTTATAATTCTTGTTTCATGGGGTTTTCTCCCACAGAAAACGATCTTCAGTACTGGTACACCAGTAGCTGCAGCGACAGTAGCACCTATTTTAGCAACCAACACCATTCCCTCGGCAACCACAGCTGGTGAGTTGGTATCCCTGCTCTTCCTGTGAAGGAAAAAGATGTGAATGTGAAGTCAATTTAAGCATGTGAGCTTACTCTCAAACAAAGAGAATGGGCTAGAAAATTTTTCTTAGGTTCCTCAGGTTTGGGAGGAACTGTAATATACACAAAGGCCACGTTTATTGAAGATTTTTTCCCCCCTCCTGTTTTAGGATCTGTGTCACATACACAAGCTCCCACGAGTTCAATCGTTACCATGACAATGCCCTCACATTCATCTCATGCTACTGCTGTGACCACCTCAAACATCCCTGTTGGTGAGTGTTTTGCAGACATCAGGTAAAAACTTCAAAGGAGTTTTTTAACACCTTTAAGTACACTTTATTGTTGATGGTTAGTATTTTTTTCCAGTGTGGTTGATTTTCAAAGCAACACTGAATTTAACTTTCACTATTATTTATCCTACATATTTTTAATTGATAGTAGAGAGAAAGAGGATGCGAATAACAATTTTGAGTACTCTTAGAAAGTAGATTTCGTAAATACCTCTAGTTTTAGTTACCTCTTCATCAAACTGCCTTTTCTCTGGGTATGTATCTTCTAAAGTAATAGGCTAAATTTACTAGCATAGACAACAATAGGAAAAGAAAGAAAACAAGTAAACATTGAGCATGGGGACAGTTTTGATACTGGCATCGATTTCTTCTCTACTTATATTTTATTTATTTTTAAAAAATCATTTTATTGGGGACTCGTACAACTCTCATCACACTCCATATGTACATCCATTGTGTCCAGCACATTTGTACATTTGTTGCCATCATTCTCAAAACTTTTTTTTTTAATAATTTTATTGGGGACTCGTACAACTCATACCAGTCCATACGTACATCCATTGTGTCGAGCACATTTGTATATTTGTTGCCATCATCATTCTCAAAACATTTCCTTTCTACTTGAGCCCTTGGTATCAGCTTCTCTTTTTTTTTCCAGCTTCTCATTTTTCCCCCTCCCTCACGAACCCTTGATAATTTATAAATTATTATTAATTTGTCATGTCTTACACTGTCCAATGTCTTCCTTCACCCACTTTTCTGTTGTCCATTCCCCAGGGAGGGGGTTATATATAGATCATTGTAATAAGTTCCCCCTTTCTACCCTACTTTCCCTCCATCCTCCAGTATCACCACACTCAGCACTGGTCCTGAAGGGATCATCTGTCCTGGATTCCCTGTGTTTCCAGCTCTTATCTGTACCCGTGTACATCCTCTGGTCTAGCCCGGATTTGTATGTAGAATTGGGATCATGATAGTGAGGGAGAGGAAGCATTAAAGAGCTAGAGGAAAGTTGTATGTTTCATCGGTGCTATACTGCACCCTGACTGGCTCCTCCCCGAGACCCTTCTGTAAGGGAATGTCCAGTTGCCTACAGATGGGCTTTGGGTCCCCACTCTATACTCCTCCTCATTCACAATGATAATGATTTTTTGTTCTTTGATGCCTGGTGCCTGATCCTATCAACACCTTGTGATCACACAGGTTGGTGTGCTTCTTCCATGTGGGCTTGGTTGCTTCTCAGCTAGAAGGCTGCTTGTTTATCTTCAAGCCTTTAAGAACTGGCATAGATTTTTCAGGGAGAATCTCTGGATGCTTCAGCAATGGGAAAGCAGGTTAACCAAGGTTCTCACTGAGTACTTCCCCCAAGGTAATTAGGACCATCCTGTACTTTCTCATAGGCTAGTTTATTCCTCTTCAAAATAGTGCATACTAAAAAATTTTTTAATGTTTCCGCCAAAATTTAGTCACCAGGAGCAAAGATTGGCAGACTTCTGTGTAAAGGGCTAGAACGTAAATGTATGGCTTTTCAGGTCATGTGGGTCTGTGGTGCTCACTTTTACTGCAGTGACTTCAAAATTCTCAGAGACTGTCTGTAAACAAAAGGGCATCCGTGGCTGTGTTCCAGTAATACTATTTGTGGACACAAAGGAATCTTTATAATACAAAGCGTAATTTAATCTTAGGAGCCCTGGTAGTGTAATGGGTTACTAATTGGACTGCTAACCACTCAGCAGGAGAGAGATAAGGCTTTCTGCTCCTGTAAAGCTTTAACAGCCTGAGAAACACACAACGGTTTCACTCAGCTTCTCTGCATTAACCACTGGTAGCATGGGACATTCTGGCTCGTATCCTGTAGAAATTTCTATCGTTTCTTTCCTTAGAAATAAGCTGAGCACCCACTGTAACAGATTTGTACTGCTCACCCGTGATGTTTAGTGTCCTGTACTAGGGGGTTACATTAGAATGTCGTCCTCGGTCCAGTGTTGTCTTCTTTCACTGATACGAAGTGTTCCTTATACAAATGGAAGCTATCTTCTATTTCTCTGACTAGCTTGTAGTTACTCCTTCTCTAAGTCTCCATGCATAGAGGTCTGTAGGTATATTATCCCAGTTCAAATCTACCTTTTGACTAATACTTGATTGCAAATTGTGTAAGAGAGCACACTAAACTGAATTTGACAACTTCGGTCATACTGACTTTTACATTGTAAACGGTATGCAGAATTTCAGGGCCTTCAAAGGGTTTCAGAAATCATTCTGCAGCCATCTAGAGAAGTCTTCATTGTAGACAAGGAAACATATGCAGACGTTAAAATTATCTACTAAGAAGCTGTAGGCCCTGGAGTAGAATGCCATTTCCTTATTAAGCATCCTGTTTGTTTATTTATTTTGGTTCATTATGCCATTTTCTCCTTAAAACAAATGAACAAGACCTCCAAGAAAGGGAGAGTAGTACTTGCTGATAGTTTTGTTGATCTATCAAGGTGATATGTGAGCCTTACTTTGATATATTATCAGGAGTCCTACTAGTGTGGTGGTTAAGGGATGTGCTGCGATCCACATGGTCAGCAGTTCAAAACCACTTCCTTTGGGCTTTCTACTTCCCTAAATAGTTAGTCTCGGAAAACCCACAGGGAGGTCAGTATGATTCAGCATCAACTCGATGTCAGTGAATTTTTCGTGTTTTTGGATATATTAGTGGATTATTGGTTCTAAATAATTCAGTTGAACATTATGTACTCTTATTTTTAACTTTGATTAACACTTGGAATCCAATCATATTATTTCTATCTGCATTTTAAGGATGGTTACTAGCCAGAAATGCTGTGATATGCAATATTGGATTTTGTTTTTTGTAGCTAAAGTCGTGCCCCAGCAGATCACACACACTTCTCCCCGGATCCAGCCTGATTACCCCACAGAGAGGAATAGCTTGATTCCCATTTCAGGACATCGAGCATCTCCAAATCCCGTGGCCATGGAAACCCGAAGTGACAACAGGTAGGTGAGAAAATAACAATTGCAGCTGCATCATTGTATCTTCTATTGTATTAATTTTCCAGTGAGACATAATATGGAAGATATGTAAAATTTATTTATTTATTCGTACTGTCAAGTTTTCCTTGGAAATAATGCATTGTGTAATTTCTTAGATATGTGGAATGTAAGAGAAGAGCAAATAATAAGGAAATGTGCAAGATATTTATTCAGCTGTTCTATTTTTAATGGATATTCTCCTAGCATCCATTTTCTGATGTGTGTGATTTTTTTGTTGTTTTCTTTAATTGTTGCTGCGTTCCAGCATCATAGCTCTTTCTTCTTAAGTACTTCTTTGTGTTTCCTAAGAACAATAACATTCTCTTGCTTAACCACATTACAGCTATTTGAAACTATTTTTTAAATTTTCTTTACCTTGATACTAAAATGCATTGATATTTTAATGAGTATAGGTCAGTTTTGGTAACAGAATATTTTTCTATTTAGCTTTTCTATATGGGTCTGTCAGGTTCTTTTGTCCTGGTTATAACTTAGTCACGTATTTTTGTGTGGAGTGCCAGGTAGGTACTATTAAGTATTACTGATGTTACTGCATCAGACAGTCCGTGCTATTTGCCTCATTGTTAGTTATGTTAACATTAACTATTTAGCTGAGGTAGGTTGTTTTGTTTTGTTTTTTCACTACAAAGGTAATTTTTTTTTAAGTAATTTTTTTCTACTGTAAAGGCAAATTTTTTCCTTTTTTATGAAGCCATCTTAAAAAGCTTGTGGGGAAAATTGCATTATTTTTTAATCCTGTTTTCCCATGAATTTTTTATGCACTTTTGTATAAGTAATATACATGGGGGTACTTTGCAACTGTAAAATACCTTGTTTAACAAACTTTCAGTATTTTTTGCATTCACCAATGATTCTTGGCTGAATTGATTATTAACATGATGGTTGCTGAGTTTTTATTTTATTACTTATGATATGTCAATTATTAATATTATGGCTCTATTTTTGTCATTTCTTAGATCTATTTTTAGTTGGTATGTATCTCACACACCCCATTTGTTTATTGAGTTACTTATATTTTAAAATCAGCGTGGGCTCAGAGATTTGGTTTTATCTATTATAATCTATAAATTTTTTGATGATTAAATTTTTTCAGTCAACCCTTGATGCTCATTCTGTAGTTTTACAGTGTCCCCCTCATTTGAGCCCTACTGAATACTTATTAACTCTAACGTTTATGGATTCTTTTAAGTTTCTTACGTAATGTGGGGAAATGGGGTATCTTCATTTTCAGTTCCCTATACCTGTGTCTTCTTGTCTTGGTTACCATTTCCCGTGTGAGTTGACTAGAAGTAAAGATCGTGACACACCTGGTCTTTCTGATTCTTGACCTGAATGCCAATTTTGAAATTTCATACTAGATTTTATTAGATGGCATTTTCAGTTTGAAGAACCACTATTTCTATAAAGCAGTACTACAAAAGCTTGTTTTCAAGGAAGCCTTATTTCATCATGTTGTGTGTAATTTCTATGTGCTACTCAATCTATTTTATTTAAAATTTGTGTATCTACTTAGAGAGGTGGTATTTCACTTAAATTATTTTCTCATGCTCTTCCTGGCTAATTTTGTATCAAGATTATATTAAAATTTAAGTTGGACACCTCTGTTTCTCTGTTATCTGAAAGTTTGAATTAAACTGGGATGATCTGTTTACCTATGTGTGATATAATTTTCAAGTAGAAACTATTTGAGTTTAGTGTTACTCAAATTTAAATGGGGTTGAGTTGGGGAAATTCATTACTGAGTTTTTGAGTTGGTTTTGGTAATTGTTCTAGAAAAGTATTCATTAAAATTCATATACTTATATATGTGCTTTCTATACACTTGTGTAATTACATAAAGTCATATTTTCAAGTTTTAACTTTCTTTATGAATCGTTTATGTGCTATCATTTGTTTTGGACGTGGTAGGAGAATGCTGGTGTGGTAGTTGTGAAGAAGGTCTGGGGGATAGTATTATTTTGTAGAAAGAGATGGACTATTTGTCTCATCCTGTGTGTTCCATGTACAGACCATCTGTTCCTGTGCAGTTCCAATACTTTTTGCCAACTTACCCGCCATCTGCATACCCGCTGGCTGCGCACACATACACTCCCATCACCAGTTCAGTGTCCACCATTCGACAGTATCCAGGTAGGATCGCCTCTTTTTTTTAATATGGCTTTTGACATTTTTATTTTGTAAGCATTGAGTAATTCTAGTATGGCACCAGCACTAATTTCAGATTCTAATAAAGGTAAAATCTAAAGTGAACCATCTTCTTTAGTACTGCCCTTATGATCTAAAAAGTTTGTGACTTATTAGTGATAATCACAACCTTTTATTTTACCCTGAGGATAATCCCTTAACAATTTTCATTGCACCTTGAAAAGGTAGAACTATTACAGTGCATAAAGCGATATTCTTGGGCGGTTTCTGTTGTTTGGGGGATAGCTGAACGTTTTTGTTTTTCTTTAAATTTTTGTACAGTTATGTTCAGGTTTGACATAGGAATAGTGTTAGTTTTCCAACCTTCGGGCTTTTGAAACCTTTCGTCTATGTACTTTCTGATTAATTTAGACATCGAGAATACAATTGCCCACATTTTGGCCATTGTCTTTCTGTAGCCAAACTATTTCGTAAAACAGCCATGAGCTCCCCAGGGCCATGGGCACTAGACTGACTAACACACTACAGTTTTAATTGAATTAATTAAAATTGGAAAATTCTCAAATATGATGAGGCTTCTAAAATTTTATGGAAAAACAGCTTAGGGAAGAGAATATCTAATTATATTTTGAATTGACATTTTAAAAATTACAGTATGGTAAATGTTTATTTCACCTGTTTTCTTATATGTTTTTGTTGCCGTTGTTTTTTCCACTGTGACATCTGGAAAGTTTACAGTTACCTGTGACTTAAATTATATTTCCACTGGATAGGGCTGCTCTAAAATTTTCAAGCATTATACACTGTTTAATAGTATTGGAAGCAGGTTTTCTCCATTTATGGATTGAGGACTGAGAAGAAAAGTCTTACTTTTTTCGTGTCATGAATAGTTAGAACCCTTTTTGTTTCCTGGGAATATCTTTTTAGGTTTTGGTTTATCTTCAGTGTACATAGTAGATGTGTTTGCCTTATTAGTAAAAAAGAAAAAAAAATTGTGTATTATCAGTGAATATACAGAATTTGAAATTTATTTTTCAGAAGTGCCTAGATATTTAATTTGTCAGTTAAAACAATCTTTGCTAGCCATGAATGTATAAGTTTTATGTTAGATATATAGTGTAGTACCTTGGCCTGTAGCTTGAATTTAGTAGTTAAAGTACATTTTTCTTTGGGTAATTTTATTTCAAGTCATCTGAAAATTCCTAAGATATAGGGAGGAAAAAACCCAACCTTTCTTGAAAATGGATGAAGATAGAGATTTTTTACAGTGGAATATTAGAGTTTTAAATTGGTTTTGATATTTTTCCCCTCCTTATGTTAAATGATTTTAGCAGCCTAACATTCTTATCGTTACTTTTTATGTTCTTGTTAGTTTCAGCTCAGGCCCCAAACTCTGCCATCACAGCTCAGACTGGTGTTGGGGTGGCATCTACAGTACACCTAAACCCCATGCAGCTGATGACAGTGGATGCATCTCATGCGCGACATATCCAAGGGATTCAACCAGCACCCATCAGTACACAAGGGATACAGCCAGCCCCCATTGGAACACAAGGAATACAACCAACCCCAATTGGAACACAGGGTATTCACTCAACAACCCCAATCAGCACACAAGGACTACAGCCGGCTCCACTGAATACCCAGCAGCCACCGCCTGAGGGAAAGACTTCAGGTAATTTTAATGTTTTACATGGAAAATGGTGTGGTGGTTCTGCTTACCTGCTGGTTGGATGGCTTTACATATTTTCTGTAGACTCAAGTTCCTCTTTGTAGCATGTATTCCTTACAACTTAAACCTCCTAGGTTCTTTGTACGCAGTAGATGTAACCTGATCAGCCTAATAAAGCATTTGCACTTAGTGCACTAAAGCTTTCAATTGAGAGAGCAAATACACTTTATACTGATAAAGTTCTCATTCAGCTTAAGATTTCTTGAAGGGTTATATGTGGATCTATAAAATCTTATACTAATATTAGCTGATATTGTGTCAATATTTAAATGAAAATGCTAATGGAGTAGGCATTTTAAGAAGTGGAATAGGTGGGGAGGAAAGGGGGGGGAAAGGAGGAGCTGGTCCCAAGGGTTCATTGGAAAGTAAATGTCTAGAAAAGAGTGATGGAATATATGTACGAATTAGTCGGATACAATTGATGTGTGGTTTGTAACAAGAGTTATAAGAGCCCCCAATAAAATTATTTGGAGAAAAAAAAAAAGAAGTGGAATATGTTAGTGTGCTTATTTTTCAACCAGGCTGTTGATTTTAAAGAGTATCTTTTGTGTTAATTGTACTTTAAAGGAGAATAACTTACAAGTAATTACTTTAATTTCCAAGTAGATGCTGGAATTTATTATTTTATTGAAGTTTTTCCAAACTTTAACTTATTGATTATCATACAAATGTGGGATTGACCAAAATATAGCTCGTAGTGCTCCAACTCCAAGAATGCAGTACCTACATCTTTAATTGCTCATGCTCAAAACTTACTTTTTGAAATTCCAGCTCTTTGAAGTTACCTTTTTTATAGGTCAAGTATGGGCTAATTTCTGATTATGGTCTTATGCTCACCAGTATTTTGTTACTACTTTCACATGTAATTTGGTTAAAATTATTAATTGAATGGTCTCCTAAAGATAACGAGAGCAATGGCACCTGTAGAAGAGACAAGAAGAGCAGTGTTTTACAAAATGCAGGATCACATTTCTTAAGTTAACTATTTGGAGCAGGATGACCTCTTTGTGTCACGTTTGTCATTTCTAAAATCAGAATAATCATTTTAAAGCCAAAAACCAAACTTCACTGCCATGAAGTCAAATGTCAACCCATATTGACCCTCGAAGACAGGTTAGGATTGGTCCTGTCAGTTTCTGGGACTGTAACTGTTTACAGGAGTAGAAAGCCCCATCTTTCTCCCAATTCATGTTAAAATTTATATAAATAAAAAGCAGTAAGCACTATGTAGAGTGAGAGTAAGTGCTATTTATTCTTTATACTCTATTTATTTATTTATATTAGTGACTGTGATACCAGGCAAAGAAAAATGAATAGTTATGATCATGCATCGGTAGATGGAGTAACCCCCTACTTTGCCATCTGCTTTTTGGTAGATGAACATTGTACTCCCATTCTGACCCTTGTCGAAACAGGGAAGGCATGGTTACTCTGATGCCCCCTGTGTAACCCTTTACGTGTGTCTCTGTGAAAGGAATGTTCCATCCATTCCCTGTCTTCATTGTTCTTGTCTTGCTCCTTCGTTCTTCAGCAGTGGTATTGGCAGATGGAGCCACAATTGTAGCCAACCCCATTAGCAATGCATTCAGTGCTGCTCCAGCAGCCACCACCGTGGTGCAGACCCATAGCCAGAGTGCCAGCACCAATGCTCCAGCCCAGGGCTCATCACCCCGGCCAAGTATACTTCGGAAGAAACCTGCCACAGATGGGTAAGTACATGCATTAATGTACTGACACCCCTGTTTCTGATATTAATGGTCTGAACCATAGATGTGCATTCATTGCTGATTGTTGTTGCTAGTTACCAATCAAGTTGATCCCACCTTATGGCAACCCCATGTGTGCAGAGTAAAACTGCTCCATTAGGTTTTCAAGTATGTGATCTTTGGGAAGCAAACTGCTAGACCTCACTTGCAATGTTCCTGTGGACGAATGTGATCCGTCAGTCCTTTGACTAGTAATTTAAGTGCACAGCAATGCCACCCCGGAACTCTCCAATGCTGGGAGTGGAGTTTCTTATCTTCTTTGGCATTTTTAATTTTTTTGAAGTTAACCTTAACCACAGATTGGTTCAGTTGAGCCTGGCCAAGTACCAATTAGATAGTTTTAACAATTCATGAGTCAGTTGAGTGGCAATTTATAGGCATTTATCGCATGGACAAGGAGCTCTGGTGGTTTAGTGGGTTACACATTGAACTTATAACTAAAAGGTCACCAATTAAAACCCACCAGCTGCTCCTTGGGTAAAACAGGAGGCTCTCTACTCCTATAGAGATTTAAAGGTTCTGAAACCCAAAGGGGCAATTCTGTTCTGTTCTATAGGGTTGCTATGAATCAAAATCGACTTGTTGGCAGTTAGTTTGGTTTTGAGTTTATTGTACAGTCACTGAGTAAGAATTGATTCGATGGGTTTAATTCCTCTATTACTTTAGGGATTACAGTTCTGTGAGTTTAATGTTAGAAAATTCAAAAAGTGATACTTCAAATTTTCATGGAAAAAATCCATTATCTTTTCATTCCATTTTCCACAAACTTTTTTGATTCTCCTCATAGTTAATTCTTCAGGCTTGTCTAAGCAGATTACGTTAACACATATTTGTTTCTTGTCATCTAGCATGAATTGTAAGCAATTACTTAAATGTAATAAAACTCATATTTAGTAGTCATTTTATGAACCTTTGGATGGGTGGGGGAGAAAATGAGGCCACTTCTGACCTCTGGTTTCACAAGGAAAGAGAATCCAACTCCACACTAACCCAAAGCTGCCTGCCAAAAAGCAGAGCTCAGACATGCCGCCACCCTCCATCCTTCTCAGTACTGCTACTCTCCATTATCCCACAGTCTCCGTGCTGCAGCCTCCGCTGCCTCTGGTCTCAGCCTCGACCACTTTGGACAGAGATTTCAAATTTGGTATGCTGGTGGCTCTTCTTCGTTAGTCCTGGGAACGCTTCCTCTGCGTCCACAGTGGCTCTCCTGTACACAGAGGAATGGCTTTGATGGAGGTGTGGTTTCTATCTCTCAACCAAGCATGTTGTTGTTAGGTGCCTGATCCTGTGCCATCCCTACAGAAACAAAGGTGACTTTGTTCACATCCTCTCATATGGTAGCGACTCAGAATACCTTCTATCATATCCTGTTCACTAACTTAACAGAGAACTCCCTCCAAAATGGGATATTAACCTCAGCTATAGAAGCTAAAATTTACAATATGCTGCAAAAGGGTTTATGGACAGAAGAATCATACTAAGAAATTTTATGTCACGGTGGGCCATAAAGTAGAGAATAAGTTTAAATGCATTGCTACTAGGTTTCTGGCTCCCTAGGTTTCCACAGGTTTATTCCAAATAAAATGTATTTAAACGTGTCTTTAATCAGTGCAAGGCTGTAGATAAGTTCTCTCACTAGTATATTTGTCTTAGGCTCTTTAGGGTGCCTTTAAAAAATATCCTTTCAAAAGAGTGACTTCCAAGAAGATCGTTTCCATTCAAGGCAGAGAGGTCAGCTCAGAAGTTTGAATTTTTTTCATTCAAAGTTAAAATGTTGAAAGCTCTTTTTCAGACACTGGGGCTCTTAGGGAAGGGTTAAAGAGATAGAAACATTGCCTTCAGAAAGATCTAGATGTGAATGCTTTCTACTCCTGTAAACAGTTACTGTGTCAGAAACCCACACTGGGGTCGATGAGTCAGCATTGACTCTTGGTTTGAGATGGTGTGTATGTCCAGAAACAGTAGCTACTCATTTTGATATATTTGTTTAATAAAAGTTTCTCTGGTTTCATAGCAATACTTTTTAGCTCAGTTCTTATGTGCTATGCTATGAATGTAACTTTAGTTTTGTTTAGCATAAGGATATGACTCTTTCTGGTCACCCCAGATAGTAAACTTCAGAGTAGACAAGCCCTTTTCAGATAGAGCTGCCATTCAGCTTTTAAATACTTCCGTGCCAATCATAATCACACAACCAAAGATAATCAGATATGTGGAGGCCTCTAACCAGTGAAGATAAAAACAATATAGAAGCAACAAAACCCACATGGAAGAACACACCAGCCTATGTGATCACGAGGTGCCAAAGGGATCAGTTATCAGGCATCAAAGAACAAAAAAATCATATCATTGTGTGCTCACCTCCATGATACGACTGCTGAAGACAAATGGGTGCATAAGCAAATGTGGCGAAGAAAGCTGATGGTGCCCAGCTATCAAAAGGTATAGCATCTGGGGTCTTAAAGGCTTG